TCTTGAATCTCGGGATACTGAGATCGGAACGATGCGTGACCTCTTCTCGCCACGTCTCTTAGAAACATCGACAAGAATTCAGAGCTGGAGCCAGCGATATCAACCGCGGTTGGTGAACGGAGGCACAGTCTCTCTTGAGACCCGCCTGAGTCGCCTGCTGGGTTCGCCACCAATCATGGTTGCTGGCATGACTCCGACGACTGTGCATTGGGACTTCGTTGCCTCCATCATGAATGCTGGATATCACGCTGAACTGGCTGGCGGAGGCTATCGAACTAGCTCGGATATGACAACGGCAATTAAGAAGTTGATTGACAATACTCGTCCCGGTCGTGGAGTCACTTGTAACCTCATCTATGCAAACCCCCGAGCAATGGGCTGGCAGATAGCCATGCTACGCCGCCTATCGCACGATCGAATCCCTATTGATGGACTCACGATTGGCGCGGGAGTACCCTCGGCAGAGATCGTTTCCGACTATATCCGCACACTTGGCCTGCGTCATATTAGTTTCAAACCAAGCTCAGTGTCCACGATACGACAGGTCGTGGATATTGCTAGGACACACCCTGACTTTCCCATCATTCTACAGTGGACGGGTGGTCGAGGGGGAGGACATCATTCTTATGAAGATTTCCATGCTCCTATTCTGAGCACATATGGCACCATTCGACAGCAACCCAACATCTACTTAGTTGCCGGTAGCGGTTTTGGGAGCAGCGAAAGCATCTACCCATATCTCTCGGGGCAGTGGTCTGTTTCGCATGGCCACCCTTGTATGCCCTTTGATGGCGTTTTGCTGGGTAGTCGTATGATGGTGGCCCGGGAAGCACACACCCCTCCTGCCGTCAAACAAGTTATCACAAACACCACTGGTGTTCCAGATAGCGAATGGGTGAAGACATACTCAGGCACAGCAGGAGGAATTGTCACCGTCCAGTCGGAGATGGGTGAACCTATCCATAAGATCGCTACCCGAGGGGTACGACTCTGGGCGGATATGGATCGAACGGTGTTTAAGCTACCCAGAAAGGATCGTGTCGCGTACTTGACCAAGAATCGAGACTCCATCATTCAACGACTGAACTCGGACTTCGCAAAACCCTGGTTTGGTCGAGATACTCGCGGTGCTGTGGTGGACTTGGAAGACATGACCTACGCTGAACTACTTCATCGTTTGGTTGATCTGATGTACGTCCGTCATCAAAAGCGATGGATAGATCCATCTTACGTGTGCTTCACTTTGAGCATTGCGACTCGGACTCTGGAGCGCCTGCCGTGTGCTTCGCTTGATCAGCGCGCGGATATATCACACACAGTACTCTCAGAGAACCCAGATCTGTGCCTTCGCTCAATACTTGAAGTGTGTCCTGAAGCTAAAGACGAAGTCCTCAACCCAGAAGATGTCTCATTCTTCCTTTTGGAGAGTCGAAAGCCCAATCAGAAGCCAGTCAACTTCATACCGGCCCTCAATGAAGATTTTGAGTGGTACTTCAAGAAGGACTCCCTCTGGCAGGCAGAAGATATTGAAGCTGTTCCTGACCAAGATCCCGAGCGTGTTTGTATCTTGCACGGACCTGTGGCTGCACAATACTCAGTTGACCGGGGTGAATCTGCCCAGGAGATATTGGACGGCATCCTGGGTGGACTTATTGAGCGCTGCCAACGCGACACTTGCCTGGAAGACTCAACTTCCAGCTCCGCTAGTGGACTGGCCACTCCTGACAGTTGGTCATCGATTTCTGGATTAAGAGAGATAGCTGTTGATGACATGTCGATTCCAACGTCTATCTCGGCCTCTGAAGCTCTCGACGACCGGTCTGTGCATGTTTCGGCCGCCGGGTTAAGCTTGTCTCGGAGTTTACCTCCATGGATACGCGCGATTTTTGGGGATCCCGTGCTGCTACAGAACAGACGACGACAGCGCAACCCATTTCAGCATTTCGTCGCAGCGAACCCCGATGCAATCTTCCATTATGACCCAGACCGAGGAGAGATATCAGTCTGTGTCCAGGATGCATGCCGGGTAACCTCCTCCATGAAGCTTTCGAGCCCGAACGGCGTGAACATTGTTCTGGAACTTTACCCCCCTCAGGTACTCGAACCACTGAGGCTATTTTATCGATTTGATCCCAGCAGCATCCCTTTCAGTCTTAGTGAAATCATGAACGAAAGGAGTACACGAGTCAAATCATTCTACAGCCGCCTTTGGTTCGGGGAAGATGTGTCGACAAGTGGTAGTATTCATGATACATTCTACGGGAAGGAGATGACGCTCACCGAGCAAGTGCTCCAGGACATGATCGCGGCTGTTGGCCAGGCCTTCCCAGATCAAAGACTTATCTTCCTCGATTCAGATGTCCTGCCCATCAGCATCGGAATTTTCATAGCTTGGGATGTTTTAACAAAGCCCTTGGTGCTCCAGGACGTTGGCGATGACCTGCTCCGGCTGGTTCACCGGTCGAACACGTTCGAATACTGCCCTAATACGGCAATGCTAGGTGTTGGCGATGTTGTCCGTTCACAGTCACAGGTCCGAGCTATCTATGTTGAAGATGCTGGTATGGTTGTTGTTGTGGAAGCCCAGATTATGCGCTCGGGCAAACCGGTTCTCACGGTGACATCGACGTTCCTATTTCGAGGGACCTTCGAAGGGGAGAGGGAACTCTTCAGACGCATTAGAGAGCCGGAACGCAAGCTTCATCTCGGATCTGAGCTGAATGAGACTGTTCTTCGACGACGGGAATGGTTCTACGTCGACGATGAGACGATTTCACTGATTGGGAAGACTCTTCTTTTCACGCTGGAAACCCATACCATACACAAAGAAGGCGGTTTGAAGGGACTGCAAGTAACGGGAACTGCCAGAGCGCAGCTCGGAGGGTACTTGTGGAAGGAGGTAGGGACGGTGAATTACAGCTGCGATGACTGTGTCGGCAACCCGGTACTTGAGTTCCTGGACCGCAAAGGTAGTCTGGCTTCTCCGGAGGTTGAACTTAAGAATTCGGGATGGTCAAGTTTGTCGTCTATTGAAGTACAGATGCCACCGAGCAACCAGCCATACGCCAACGTGTCGAAGGACTTCAACCCAATCCACGTGTCAAGTATATTTGCTTCTGTGGCCGACCTCCCCGGTACTCTGTCGCACGGTATGTGTACTTCCGCAGTCACAGCGGCGGCCTTCGAGCACCTTGCGCTCCACGGCGATCGACGCCGGCTTCAGTCATTCACGGCAAGCTTTACTGGCATGGTCATGCCCCTCGAAAGGCTGGTCGTCCAAATCCGGCATACCGCGATGGTTGAGGGACGCATGCGCTTCGCGATCGATGTCACGCGCAAGGACAGTGGAGAAAAGGTTCTTGAAGGTAGCGCTGTTGTGGATCAGCCGGCTACGGCGTACCTGTTCACGGGTCAGGGTAGCCAGAGCAAGGGCATGGGAATGGACCTCTACGAGTCAAGTCCAGTGGCGAAAGCTTTGTGGGACGAGATCGATATTCAGCTCTACGACTCATATGGTAGGCTCTCTGCGTGTATTGAATGGATAGGACGTTTCTGACGATGACAGGCTGGTCCGTGCTGGACATTGTACGCAACAATCCCAAGTCAATCACTGTTCATTTCGGTGGCAAACGAGGCCGGAAGATCAGACAGAATTACTTGTCCATTACCACCGAGACGGTCCTGCCGGATAATACACGCATCGAGACGCCTGCCCTACCGGGTCTCACCTCTCGATCCACATCTTATACATTCACCGACCCGAAAGGCTTACTATACTCCACTCAGTTTGCCCAGCCGGCGATTCTGCTATTTGAGGTAGCCGTGATTGCTGACCTGCGCAGCAAGGGTTATGTCTCGCCCGATGCATTGTATGCCGGTCATTCTCTGGGCGAATACGGCGCATTGTCGGCTTTGTCGCAGTCGATTCCGATGGGTGCACTGGCTGAGTTGTCATTCTACCGGGGCCTGATGATGCAGGCATCTGTGGCGCGGGGAGAACAGGGAGCGGCGTATGGGATGACGGCAGTGAATCCCAAGCGGGTAGGAAAGTGTAAGTATCATGCGATTTGCGGACGATAGAACATTTGCTGATTACTGGCAGTCTTCAACGATATTGCTCTGGGACGGCTGGTTGAGGCGATTGCTGTGGTAAGCCACGAGCTACTGGAGATTGTCAATCACAACGTTAAGGGGGAGCAATACGTGTGTTCAGGCACGGTAGGTCTTCACGTCTACTACTTCCGACGAAATTTGCTCTCTTAAGTTTGGATCATTACTGACTTGACTAGGACACAAACATGTGGGTGCTTGAGAAGGTCCTTGATGGACTGTCACAGTCGCCCAACGGACCTGATCAGATTCAGGAGATGATGGAGAACCCAGCGGGGACGAGGGCGATCGATGCAACGATTAAAGATCTACTGGCTGCGGCACACGGTCTTCGCAAGCCAATTCAGCTACAACGGGGGACAGCCAGCATTCCTTTGCAGGGTATTGATGTTCCTTTCCATTCCAGCCGCCTGAAATCGACGGTCGATCGGTTCCGACAGTGTCTGCTCAAGCCCGGTTTCCTGGAGGGCAACGTAAACATGGCCGAGTTGGAGGGGCGGTACATCCCCAATGTCATGGCGAAGCCGTTCTCGGTGAACGAGGAATATGTTCGGGAGGCGTACGCCTTGACGCAGAGTCCGATCCTGGGGGAGATTCTGGGGGTTTACGGCATAGATTAGAAGCGCGGAATAGATTGAGCTTGCGCATATAGCTTGCATTTTGTTGAAACATAGCGAAATGAGTTCAAATGAATTGACAGACAGATAATCTGAGATTACCGCACATTGTTCAACCGTGCTAGAAGAATTGACCACAGTACTTGACATCATATACAGAACTACACCCTCGACTTCCCTTTCCCAATAACCCATTTCCCATTTCCCATTCTTCGAAACCCAAACACAACCCCCCCCCGTTCCTCTCCGTTCACCACCGTTCACCACCCCCCCTCAAAAACAAGAATTACCCCACGTCCCGCGCCAATACTGGCCCTGCACCTCGCCGACCATCCCCTCGACATCCAACCCCCACACCGTCATCGTCCGCCGCCGGATCTCCTCAAACACCCGGCCCATCATCCCCGTCTCCGCCGTCACCTCCCCACCGGCCCCCTCCTGCCCCTCGAACAGCTCCCACTCGTACGCCCGACACACCTCCCGACTACTCCGCATCACCCACTGCGACCGCTTATACCGCACATCCGAGTACGCCTTGAACGCCACCTCCAGCGCCTGCGGCGTCGTCAGCTTGCCCGAGAGGATGTCGGCCTCCGCGCACGTCAGGGCGGTAACTAGCGCCAGGGCGTCCTCCACCCCCACCCCCGCCCCGGCCCCGTGGTGCGGGGATGCGGCGTGTGCGGCGTCGCCGACGAGGCAGACGCGGAAGATCGCGTAGGTGGGTGGCGGGTGGTTGTAGAGGTCGAAGATCGGCCATTGGGTTAGTGTGGGTGGTAAGAGGGTGAGGAGGGTGCGGAGGAAGGGGGTCCAGTCTTTGAAGGTGTGAAGGAGGTGGGTTTTGGGGGTTGTGGGGGTGGGTGGCCATTGTGGGGTTGAGGGGGAGGGGGATAGGGATGAGGAGGGGTCTGATGGTGGGTTTGTGGTGCTGGTGCTGCTGGTTGGGGCTGGTCTGGTGTCGTCTGGGGTGGTGGTGCGGCTGGTTTCCGGGGTGTTGATTGTTGTGGTGCTCGGGGTTGTGTCTGCTGTTGTGTTGCACGTATCACTTTTGGATTCGGGGGGGTTGAGATTGGGGGTGGGGGTGTTGGTCAGTGTGCTGGGGCTGGGGCTGGGGCTGGGGCTTTTGCTTCTGGTTGTGGTTGTGGTGGTTGTTGTGGTGATGGTTTCCTCGATTGGGGTGGCAGTGGTGGTGGCTGCGCCGGTGAAGCTCGACACGTCCCAGTCATTGGGGTCCGGGACAAACGCGACCACATTCAGCAGCTTCTGGTTGGCGACGGGGAAGTGCAGGACGTGGGCGTGAGGCCCGCAGTGCATGTGCTGGAGGAGGGCGCGGTGGCGGCCCAGATGGGCGATGGCCTGGTCCATCGGGATGAGGCCGCGGTAGGCGAGCTGGTGCGCGTAGCGGGGCCGGTGGTCGGCGTTGGGGAACATGAGGTCGCGCACGCGCGATTTGATGCCGTCGCAGCCGATGACTGTGGTGGTTGTTAGCTTTTGTTTTGGGTGGTGAGGTGAGGTTAGGGCTTTTGGTTCGGGTGGAACTCACCTCCATCGACCTCCCTCACACTCCCATCCCCAAACACCAGCTGGATCCTCCCAGACTCCAGATACTCGTACCTCTCCAGCCGTTTGCCGAACTGCACCACCCCCTCGGGCATCAGCCTCATGATCTCCTCCAGGAACTGCGCGCGGTGGCACCCTTCGAACCCCCGTGGCCCCGCATACAGCTTGTAGACCTTCCCCTCGATGCCCACGGGCTGGTCGTTGTCGTCGTCCACGTACGTGTGGTAGCCGTCCACGAACCGCATGTTGTAGTCTGGGTCGTCGGGCTCGCCGTTCTCCGTCGCCACGGCGCGCAGACACTCGTCCAGCCGCGGGTCCAGCCGCATCATACAGTGGCGCGCCGCCCGCGTGAAGCCGATCCCTGCGCCCAGCTCGCGATGGCACGCCGCCTGCTCGTAGACCTGGATGCGGAGGTGCGGGGAGTCGCGGTTCAGGAGCCCCAGCGCGAGCAGCGTGCCGATGAGGCCGCTGCCGATGATGGCGATTTCGATGGCCATTGTGGTCGAGGTTGTGGACTGTACGTGTACGTGTACGTGTACTTGGGGGGGGGGGACAATGGACGGGTCTAGTTGTGGTGACTGTGGGAGAGCGAGTATACAATTTCAAACTACAATATGATATGTTACCACGGGCACGAAAGGGAGAGTATAGTACTTGGAGGTGGCCTACACCAGGCACTGCACAGCGTACATACGTCCGAGGTTGACTCATCCTCACTCAGACATTCACTCACTTACTCAGTGTACACACCACACCGCACCGCAATAAAACCTAACCAACTACCTACGCTCCAGCTTCGCTTTGCCTCGCTTCGCATCAGGCTGCAGAACGCCCAAGGTAGGCCTACGTAGTCATGCTCTGTCACTCGTTCCAAACGAATGTCAACAAACAAACGAACAGTGGGGGAGTCGCCCGTCTACCCTTTGGGCCCTCAAACAACAAACGCATATTTTGCTTCTCCTTCCTGTGACGACTGGCTGTACTACATTGACAGCACAAACGCAATTCTTTTCTGCCAGTCACCGTCAAAACCCGTGCGGACAAACCAGCAGGGCCTCACAATCCGGCTTGAACGGATCCGCATGTCGTGGTTTTCCGCGCGCCCCAATCTTCTAGGTGGTGGAGCTTGGGCTACGAGGTTGCGTGGTACAGTATACAGCGGGTAGAGGTAGGGGGCGGGGGGGGGGGGCGGATAACTACCGAAGGGCTCAAATATCTCTGCTATTCCTTCCCCTTCCCCAGCCTCCAGACCGCCTCGCTGTCGAGGTTGCATTGCTGGGGTTGGAAAGCTGTAAGCTCTAAGCTGTAAGCTGTCTCTGGATGACTCGCACTCTCGACCGAAAACCTCATCCCATCTTACGACCTACCAGTCCAAACGGCAAGAAATCAAAGTAGCAGAGGATCACCAGAACACACGTCCGCAAGAAGAAGAAGAAGAAGAAGAAAAGGAAGCCAGGCAAGTAGGCAGAGGAGAGGTTAAACACCTCCCGTAGTACAACATCTACTTCCCGTGTAACCAGCCACCAAGCAAGAGCAAAAAACACAAAATATATCTCCGAAGCAGCAGGAAAACCCGTGTTACCGTCTTTAGTTGGTGCGTAGTTAGCGTCTGTCGTACCCAACGGATCAGAATCTCGAGAAGTTACGACCAAGACACATCAGGGACCAGGTTTCGGCAGTCCCGTTTGGCCTTTCTTTTCTGTTTTTTTTTTTTTTTTGACTTGGGTAGGGCGTTAGTGTATCGGATGAAAGCAGGGGTCTGGTGGAATGAATCGGAGGGTAGGGGGAGGGCTACACAGGCAAGGGAGCAAGAGCTCTTCTTGTTGCTAAATTTACGGTAGGTTGCCGGGCGGGCCGGGCGGGCCGGTGGAGCGGTTATTCCTTTACTCTTGGGTTGCTCAAAAGGTCTGTCTGTCTTGCTGTCCGATAGAGCTGGGTGGTTGTGGACAGATTTGGGCGGCAGGGTTGGAAATTGGACTTAGATTGTGGGAAAATCTCCGAGGATTTGCGGCGGATCCTGGGCCGGGCCGGCGGGTTTGATGACTGGCGTCTGGGGAGGGTTTTGATTTTAGAATTATGGGGGGGGCGTGAGGGGGGGTTGGACTGGATTGGGATGGATCTGATCTGAAGTTGGGTGGGTTGGAAACTAGGGATGGGTGTCGTTGTAGTCAGATCTGACGAGGGATAAGGGCTTGATGTTAATCTGTGGGCTGTTGAGGAGGGGATTGTGAGTTGGGAAGTGGCAATGTTGAGGGTTGAGGTTGCTATTTTGAGGACAGGACGTGGAGGTGGTTTCTCTAGAGGGAGACGTTCAAATAGCCGTGTTGGGGGGCGATATTATTAATGTCATTCACGACGTATAGGAGATGGTGACTTAGAAAGACCAGAATATAGCTGAGCATAATGTTGAAATCATAGTATCTATTCAATGGGGAGCGTGATATGGACTATGCAGTCTCTCATCGTAGCATATCACAGTGCCAGTTAGATTTGTGATGGCTTCAGATCGTATGACACTGGGAGAAGTACTTATGAATGAACTCAATAACTAATACTGATCGGGTGGAACTGTAGCAGGCAGCCCGAAACTGATCTCATTCTGGTTTACTTGAACTACTTAACATCGACTCGTGGCTTCATCGCTCATCGCTCATCGCTCATATCCCATAATTCCTGCGCTGAATACGCGCAACCTGGTTGATCCGCATCATCCTCATGGATCAACCAATATAACGCACCACCTCATTCCACTCGTCGTCTGCCTTGAGCAACGCCCAGTCCCGCTCACTCAGGCACAACAACGCCTCCCACCCTCCCTCCTCATCCCCCTCGTCGATCACCGGCGCGACATAGCACGCACACGGCAAGGGGATCTCGAACGAGGGCCGCCGGATCGCATGCGGCTTCCCCAGCGGCCCAAACACCGGCACCGAGACGTGGGCCATGCTCGAGCACGAGAAGTCCGTCAACGGGTTGAAGGCGCCCCCGTACGCGACCTTGCTCTTATCCTCCTCGTTGGCCAGGAATGTCGCGTAGCTGCGCGTGGCGTGCACGTTGTGCAGTGACCTGATGTGTCTTCGTAGCCTGACGGCCAGATCATACAGCGGCAGCGAGGCGATCTCCGTGAGGGGCAGACGCAGGTTGGCCGTGCGCACCATGTGGCCCATGTAGTAGGGTGAGAGGTTGATGGTGCGCCGGAGGTCCAGCGCGCGGGTGATTTTGGAGGCGGACGCTTGTAGGAAGGGGGGCAGGTGCGGGAGGCGCAGAGTGATGAGCCGTTGCCACAGGAATGCGGTCAGGGCGTCGTTGGGGGTGATCTTCTCCTTCTCTTGGTTGGTGGATGTCGACTCGACTGGTGCGGGCGGCGCAGCCTTCTGGTGGATCTTGGTCATGGACGTCTCGCTGAATCGCACCGCCCGCCATTTGAAGGTTGCCATGTAGGCTTGCATCTCCGGTGTGATCGGGCCCGACGAAAGTCCGGGAACAATCGCCGGCTTCAGCTCGCTGTGATCGTCCATGGGCTCGTCGTCTTTGAGCAGAGGGATGAGGGTGCATCGGTCGATGTTGCCCTCGCGGATGGCTTGCTCCGGGAACGGCTCGTCGCGGAGACGGTATGCCAGCAGGTTGATGATCTGGAACATCCCGTTCCCATCGATGATGTTGTGCTGGGCCGCGATGGCCAGAATCAGGCCGCCCTCGATCCAGTTAAGCTGGAAGTCCAGCACGGGCGCTGGGTTCGTCTCGTTGTCGTCGTCGAGATAGGGCTGCGGAAAGGCCGGGCGAGGAGGGGCCAGTACAGTCGGCAGCGAGGTGGTCGGCCACCCCGTCGCACGCAACTCGGCAAGCGATGCGACCTCGTGCGTCCGATCCTCCACCCGCAGGAATTTATGATCGGGAGCCTGCCATGGGATGTGAGGACGCACGATAAAGGCGCCCGAGCAAGATGGCGTTTGGCCCTCGCGGACGACTTTGCCGCCGAGGAAGGGGAAGCCGGCGATGAGTTGGTGGATGGCCGACTCCAGGGCTGTCTCGATCTGATGGCGTGCTACATCGTTCGCGAGGGGGAAGATGAGGAGCATGTGAGAGTAGGATTTCAGTAAGGGCAATTGGCCCAGGATGTCTTGGGTGTGGTCATAGTCCATGATGGTTGTGGTGGTGGAGGTGATGAGGAACGAGTCTGGCGTGGTTTACCCTGGGGTTACAAGGGCTACGGAAGACTACGTTATTGGGAGAGAGACAACTACTATAATATATACTGTACGATGTACTTTCTTAGACCGAAACCACCCACTGCTGGCAGGTCTCACAGCAGTGTGCCACATTTTGAACTGGGCCCTGCGCAGTCTTTGTATCTTGACTACATGTGCTCTTCTAATCTGGTGTCATCATCAGAAACCTCAACCCCTAATAATAACTAACTAAACACCTTAACATCGGTCAATATTACTCATGCTGCTGCTGCTCATAATATTGGCGCCAGGATCGGCCCGGCGGAAATGGGGCATTTCAATAGCGGCTGTCGATCGCAGGGCCCTTCACTGCACGCGATCGATCTCGGCCCGATGAACACGAGATTCGGCCGATTTCTGGGGATTCTTGTGATCAATAAATCGGATTCTGCACTCTTCTGTTGACTTCTGTTGTCTTTGGGCTTGCTGGGGTGGAGGATTTGTGTGGTTGTGTGGTTGTGGTGTGTTTCTTTTCTTTTTTTTCCTTGTATTTTTCCATTTTGCAGTGCAAGTCGGCCATTTCTGCCCTAATTTTGCCCCCTCGTCGTTCGTCAACAAAGCCCCTTCCCTCCCCGTCCCTTGACTGGCTGTGCATATTGCAGTCCCACCTGCTCCAAATTCAGGCTAATTCCTAGCAACTCAGTTCATCCCCCCTCTTTTCCTTCAGATCTCGGCTCTGATCGCATGCACGGGCGCTACATACTGTCTGAGCGTGGAATCTAAGGCCAGCCCGATCTGCCATTCATTAGTCCATCTCTCGCATTCACCTTGTTGTTGTTTGAAGGTCACACTTCCACTTATGTTGGGTTGAACCGTCCCTCACAGCTGCGATGCAGGACAAGTTGACATCTGCCGTGAGAGGTCTTTAGCAGGTTGGCTGTTTGCTTGCCTCCTTATCATTTGCCACTGCCGCTGCCACTACTGCAGTGTATGCAGAGATGCAGATGTACCTCTCTCTCTCCTCCCCCATTGTTCCTCTACTCTACTGTACATGTACATACCTTCAGGGGGGGCGTCCAGACCCACCAAAACAATAGGCCTCCGTGAGATCCTAGTCTGCAGACCCTCTGCAGGGTTGATCCTGCTTTAATGCCAGCTGCAAGACTTGCGATCGGTCGTATTTGCTTATTCGCCTCAAGAGCACCGATGTCCTCAATTGGATGCTGTGACTCGGTGGCTGGCTGAGAGGCGTCGACGTGATTACGTTCATCAAACCGAGAGCAATGGCACTGTTCATTTAGTGGACCCTAAGAGATCGTGGAGGTCAAGCTGATTGCGGTTCATGCCTTTCCCATCGCTGTCAAGCGCCGATAGTGAGTAATAGTGGCTCAACAAAGGCTTGTCCAACTCTCATCTATACCTCTCCCCACCATCGCCCCTGATGTGTCTCCAGGATCAGCTGCAGCCTGCAGAGTGCAGGGCTACTCTAGCTCTCTCGACTTGCCCTTCTGGTCAGAAAGGCCTCGTTCAAATAACAACAGAACCAGTCAGCGAGCGCGCTAGCCACTGCGATCTGCATCCTGCAGGGCAGTCATCACATTGCACTAGCTAGAACGTGTTCCTTCAGGACGCACGTCGAGTCACCATTTAGGTCCGTATGGATCGACCGCCACACCCTTTCCGACTGGCTCGTCGGCGCTGACTGTGTGGACGAGCTTAATACCCCCAAAAAGCAAGCACGAGTAGTCCGGATGGGGTCCTCTTCCTCGGTATCGGACTGGCTCCTCGACTCACTGGTTCGTCCTGTCTAGTCCGACTAGTGTTGGTGCGTGCGGTCGATCCATTGCTTTGGTATCTTATCACGACCCCACTAGTCATCGGCTGGAGCAAAGAGAAGCCTGGATCGACGCACCTTCTCATAGTCGACCGGGCTCGGTTATAAGTCGAGAAACCAAGCGCTGCGGCGGTCGCTTTCATTTCGTCAGAGCAACCATCAGTGGAACTGGAACTGGTCTACGGGTCTACACTTCATCAGCCCCGACATGGTCACGTCGACGCCTACAATCTCTAGACAACGCCCTGGCTCGGCCTGTGAGGAGTGTCGACGGCGAAAAGTGCGCTGTGACCGTCGTCGGCCTCAGTGTCAGGTGTGTTTCGAGACCGGGATCGAGTGCAAGATCAACACCACCAGATTGCCCCGGGGACCTCGAAAGGGCCAGTTGCGTACGCTGCGGACAAGAATCGGTACAGCGCCTTTCATACTCAGTGGATGTGGATTGACGACTGACGCACAACAGCTGCTCTAGAGCGCTGCCTCGCAGATCAGCATCCCGAGATCAATCACCAGATGGCGAGTCTGTTTGACGGCACGGTACTTGACTGTGACTCGGAGGATGATCCCTTCCGGGACCTCACTTCACTGTCTGATTCAATCCCGGTCTCAGTGCCTTTTTCGGCTCTCCCTGACCCAGTCTTGGCCCCGGTGGAGGAGCTGGAGACGCGCGAGAGAGATGCTCATCCCACTATCTCATCTACCAAGATCCAGTCGCCAAGGACCCCAGAGTCGTTACCACGGTCGACAGGCCTGGTTTCGGAGCTGATGCGAGCTGAACTGTACGCTGTTGATTTTGATCCTAGGAAGACTTTGCAACTCTAACCTATCGGCAGTGACCAACTGTATTTCGATCGGGTGCACCCGTTTGCGCCTATCCTCCAGCGCTGGCGCTATCACGTCTGGGCTCGCCAACCTAAGAAGTCCGACAGCCAGGTCTGTTTACAATACGCCATGTGGACGGTGGCAGCCTCTCTGTCTGCCCAGTTTCAGGCACTACGGGATCAGCTGTACAGCGAGACGCGAAGGATTCTCGATTCCTTAGATCGACCAGATAGTATAACAATGGTCGCCGGGCTGGAAAAGGCTCAGGCATGGATTCTAATCGGGCTCTACGAGTACATGCAACGGTCGGCTCTCCAGGCCTGGATGAGCATAGGAAGATGCTGCCGACTGGTACTAGGAATGCGGCTCTATGAGCTGGACGATTCCACCAACCCGGTGACGACGGCACGGGAACAGGAAGCTATATTGGTGGACTGGATCGGGCTGGAGGAGCAGCGCCGGACTTTCTGGATGGCGTATTCGCTGGATCGATTTATCAGTTTCCACAACGGGCTGCCGTTTACTCTGCATGAACCCGTGGTTCGTTTTCCCCGTACCTCCAGTCCATACCGGGCCCACGCAGGCTGCTAACCCTGGATTATTACCACTAGATCACCACGCGGCTGCCCAGCCCGGAAGAGGAGTTCCAATGCGGGCAACCAACCCTAACGCCATACCTACGCGAAGTGATGAGCCAGCATCCTCACCTTCACCACCCAGTCCAACCCAATCTATACCAATACCCCCATCTGCATGTTCAGCAACAGCAACATCACCCCCACATCTACGCGATCCCTCATTCCCCGACCTCCCCAACCCACCTGACAATGGCCTTCCCCCCCGTGGCAGTGGCAACCTCCACCAACCCCACAGCAACAACAACCCCCGTCCTCAACCCCGACCTCAATAGCCAAGTCACCTATTCAAACTCAAGCTTCACCGAATTCATCCTCCTCGCCACGATCGTCGGTCGCGCCCTCTCACACCGCCAAGCGCTGGTGGTAGAGCAACCCTTCCAACCATTCCACCACCCGCCCCTGTCCCCGACAAGCCCCCACACCCCGCTCCCCAACTCGCTCGAAACCTTCTGGAACCGCCACCACGCCCTTCACGCCTACCTCAGCGCCCGCATCCAGTCTCTGTCGTCCAACCCCCAGGCTCTAGACGACCCATTGATCATGTTCGCGCGCATCGTCGCGCAGAGCATGGTACTGTTCCTGCACAACGTCCTCGAGTCCGTCGCGTGGAAGTCCGGCGGCGATCAACTGCTCGGCATCATCGAGGACGAGCGGCTCTGTGTGCTCGCCGCACACGAGGTCGTCGGCCTGGTCAAGGTGCAAGGCCAGTTAGGGTATTTTAAGGTTAGTTGTGCCCCTTGTTTTTGCGTGTGGTGTCGTTGTCGTATCACCTTAGCCTTGAGCTGGGTCTGTTGGCCACCCCTGCATTATCATCTGTCTCTTCCTCAAACCACGCAGTGAGAGATGTTCCTCCTGGAGATGATTCATTGCATCGCAGCCACACTCCACCCAAAACCCCACGCAGAGCAGAAACCCTGTAACCGCACCGATGCTAACATCCCTCCCCGTAAAGGTCCACCCCCTTACCCCCATCCCGCTGATGATGTGCACCGAGTTCCTGACGGCGCATGCGTACCTGGACCCCTCGTTCGAGGTCATGCTGCACGAGCTGCTGGAATGCCTGGGCGATCTAGAGCGAGTCAAGAACCCCGTGCAGAGCCCGACCCTGTCCGTGGTGGTTTAAAGCATCGTCGCGGGATTCTCGTTCAACGAGAACTGCAATCCTGCTACGGGATCATTTTCGGTGTTTGGTCGGGTGTTTTTTTGCTTGAGTGATGATTTGCTTGGGAAAGCTTACAGCTTGTGGTTGTTGGTGGTGCTGGCTGGCGGGGAGATGGTCGAGGCGGTTGTTGATGAATTGAGGGCATGGTTTATTAGCTGTGTGCTTTCTCGTGGTTCTTTTATTGCGCTCGATTCAGTTTGATTCAGCTTTATTTTCCTGTGCAGGCTCATAGGATCCAATGCTGCTGCTGCTGGGTGGTGGTGGTGTGTTTTGTTTTGTTGTGTTTTGTTGCCCATCGGATGGCAGGATGTTTGTTGTATTCAAGGGGCTGGCACTGGCACTGGCACTGGCACTGGCCACGAGGATGCATGGAGAGGAGCGAGCAGCGAGCTTGCTTGCTTATAAGATACAGTTCAACCTAATATAATGGCATCAGAACCTCGTGTATGTGCATAAAACAAAATTCGGGTTATCTCCTATCTCCATGAACTCCCTTTTGCCATTGACCACTACAAGAATCAGACAACCAACCCCCTTCCCCCAAACTCCGCTGCTTATCCCCGGGCTGCTATCAACTCCAACTCCGAAAAGCCTCTTTCGTCTTTCCCAAAGGACGGGGATTAGGGAACTACGTTCTGCTGCAACTGCAACCGGAAAGAGATAAACAAAAAACAAGAAAAAACCAGACACCCGTCGATTAATCTTCTTTTTTGTTTCCGGTCTGGTCGTCTCTCCTCGAGGAGTACGTAGGCTTTACGCTGGAGCCATTTTTCATCAGCCCGAAAGTGAGGGCTGGGATGGCGCGGACGGGTTATGAAACTGGCGACCAGGTCTATTGTGCAACCTTGTCGGTCCCCTTCTCGTCTGGACTGGATGGATGGATCTGACGGCCAGCTAGCCCGAGGAGATACACCGAGGAATAAACTCCGGCCGTTGTGTCTTCATTTTCGCGAGCTGTCTGTCGTTCTTGATCCTGTCTGGTTATTTCAGTTGAGGCCGGCAGTTTCCTGTCTGGCTGGTTTCGCTTGTTCGGGGACACGGTTGGGGGGGATCTTCCACCACTCGCTGCTGCTCCTGTGGATCTAAGAATAGGGTGATTTCCCCAGCAGAAGGAAGCATAGGAATTGTTCCGAGATGATCAGGTGTTGGATCGTTCCCCCGTCCCCCGTAGTGTATGTAGTCGAGGTAAGCTAGAAAGAAAAGCAATGTATACTGCGCCTGAATATGCATACTTGTCAGCAACGGGGGTCTGATCCTTTCATTCTCTGTTAGCATGCGCTGGTTGAAGGGAAAGTTTAGGTAGCCAGTTTCATGGGTTAGGTCTCGGTTTCCCGTTCCCTGTGTCTTCACAGGGCTGGGTGTAACTCTACCCACCTGTTTTCTTGCACGGTTGAGTATCGTATATGCCCGACGGACTGGGTTGGGAGGCAAAGGCCGTGGGTTCGTGGGACTGATTGTGCACACATACAACGGTGACTCTACTGTCTCTCTCTCTCTTTCTCTCTCACTGTCTTTCGGTTACGGTTCTTGCCGATGGATTTGTGCATTAAAACCTGGCCGCTCTCTGTTTTCTTTCTTGTTGTCTGTGTGGATCTGTGACTTTTTCCTTGGATTGATCGATAGCAACCCTACGGGTCTCTCGTTTGTGATTCTCTCCCCGGATATAGCAATTCTTCAATCCCGCGTGTTCATTATCGCTTGAGCGGGAAAGCGAGTCTCCGGGGTTTAGACGTTGTGAGTGCCGGCTCGTTGGTGTGTTTGTGTGGGAAAGGTTTGTTTGCCTGCTTCTTACCTCATCCGCAGTTGTTGGTCATTCCCTTCTGGGGATTGGTTTGCATCGATCCATATCCAGTAAACCAATACTTGCGACTTTTGTGGACCTGCTCTGGGGTTGTTGACGTTGCGTGTGTGCTGGGGTGTCCTTTTGCTCGTCTGTTTGCTTGTCTGCTTGGTTTGTGATTTGTGAGTGGCAAACATACACCCAAAACTCATGGCCAGTCAATTATCACCTCCGCCAGGAGGCAAGACGGTGCTGCTATTCGGTTGCCAGGCCGTGCAGTTCGACGCCAACGACTTCCAGCAGCTGCGGCGCGTCATTCTGGACACGCCCGACAACCACTGGGTGCTGGACGTCCTGGCAGAGCTGCCCGTCTACTGGCGCACCGCCGCCACCAAGTACCTGCCGAAGCTGCAGGCGCTGCCGGGTGAGCAGCAGCTGCGCGACCTGAACCAGTGGATCCGCACCGGCAAAGTCGCCGACCGTCACTTCCCGCTGCCCTACCTCCAGCATGCCCCGCTGCTGATGATCACCCACCTGCTGCAGTTCGCGCGCTACCTGCAGCTGACGCACCCGGATTACGCGGCTCACGGCGTTGTTGACGCCGAGACGAGCCCCGTCGTGGAGATCGTGGGGTTCTCCTTTGGCTTTCTCAGCGCCGCAGTCGCTTCGACCGTCACAAATCAGAGCCAGTTGCGAGAGTATGGGGCCGTGGGAATTCGGTTGGCGACCCTGCTGGGCGCGCTCGGCGATGAACAGGAGAGCCGCGAGAAGTATACCTCGCTGTCGACCGTGTGGAAGAAACCCGAGTTGGAGGGGGAGCTGGCTCGAGTGCTGGAGCAGCATCCGGAGGTAAGTTGGCTGATCTTGTGGGAGAATGACTAGCACGATAGCGCTAATGCCTCGTTCGTCAGGCGTATGTCACGGTTCGATATGATACAAACCGCGCGACTATCATGACGCCGCGGAAGGGGCTGGGCCGGCTGCAGCAAGCGCTCCAGACAGCCGGATTCTCCGCATATCACATCAACTTCAACGGACGCTATCATTGGCCGGGGCATCAGAAAGTATTGCATACGCTTGAGCAGATGTGTCAGGCGGATCCCGCGTTACAGCTGCCAGATGCATCGCAGTTGCCACGGCACACATGGACCAACATCACCAATGAGCCCATCTATGAGGGTCCACTGCACCAGGTGGTTCTGCGCTCCATATTGGCCCAGCAGTGTCAATGGGGTCCCACGTTTGCGGCTGTGCATCGGGCCCAACTTGAAAACACGCAATCGATCGTGGCGGAGTTTGGCTCTGAGCACTGCGTTCCCCCGACATTCATGCGCACGCTCGGTAGCCGCGTGGTGCACTATATGGACTTGAACCTGGACTTCCAGTCGCGCGTCTCGCCAGTTCAGTCGACCCCGACGATATATGATGACGATATTGCCGTGGTGGGCATGGCTTGCCGGGTGGCTGGTGCCGACGATCTCGAGGAGTTCTGGAAGCTCTTGTGCGCGGGCGAATCGCAGCACCGGGAGCTGCCGCCGGAACGGTACAAAGACTATGAGACCCCGTGGAGGCCAGGCGCGATTCGCCCTTGGTGGGGCAACTTTGTCAACGACATCGATGCCTTCGATCACAAGTTCTTCAAGAAGGTGCCGAGGGAGGTCATGTCCCAGGATCCACAGCAACGGTTGTTTCTGCAGGTCGCATACCAGGCTCTCCAGCAGGCGGGCTACTTCCACAAGAAGGATGCTACCAAGGACATCGGGTGCTATGTCACCTGTTGTACCGTGGACTATGAGCATAACGTCAATTGCCATCCGGCTACGGCCTATGCTGCCACGGGTCTGTTGCGGAGCTTCATGGCTGGTAAGGTGAGCCATTACTTCGGATGGCGCGGGCCGGCGCTGTGCATTGACACCGCATGTTCGGGCTCCGCCGTTGCCCTGCACCACGCCTGCAGGGCCATCCTCAATGGTGACTGCAAAGCTGCGCTGGTTGGGGGCGCCAATGCTCTCACGAGTCCGCTGGCATTTGATAATTTGAACGGAGCGTCATTTGTCTCCCCCACCGGACCTTGCAAGCCGTTCGATGCGAAGGCCGATGGCTATTGCCGCGGCGAGGGCTTTGCAGCGATCTTCATCAAGAAGATGTCCGACGCGTTGGCTGATGGTGACACAATCCTGGGCACCATCGCTGGCACCGCGGTGGAGCAGAATGACAACTGTACCCCGGTGGTGGTTCCTCATGCTCCGTCGCTGGCAGGCTTGTTCGACAAGGTTATTCGTCAGGCCCACATCCGCCCGCATGAAATATCGGTTGTCGAGGCTCATGGCACCGGAACACAAGCGGGTGACCCGGCCGAATATAGCAGCGTGAGACAGGTAATGGGTGGTCCACAACGAGCAGCCCCACTGACGCTGGGGTCAGTCAAAGGGCTGGTTGGACATACGGAAGGTGTCTCTGGCATGGTAGCGCTGGTAAAGGTACTCCTGATGATTCACGAAGGAAAGCTCCCGCCCCAACCGAACTTCCACAACTTGAACTCACACATCCAGGCGGCTGCCGACGATCAGATCGAAATCACCACCCATTTAAAGCCATGGCAAGCGGATTTTCGCGCAGCACTAATCAATAATTACGGTGCTTGTGGGTCGAATGCCTCCATAGTAGTCACTCAGCCACCTGGCTTTCGGACCGGGAGCGGTGCCTCTGCTATTCATGCCCCCGGTATCTCCCTTCCCTTCAGATTCTGTGGTTTAGATGAGCACCGTCTGCGTGATTATGCACGAAAGTTCTACAGTCTCTTGCAGCATCAGGCCGTTTCTGCGAGCCATCTCGCGTCTCTGGCTAATGTCTCGTTCAACGTTGCTCGCCAATGCAGCCCAAGTCTCGACAAGCACCTGATATTCAGCTGCAGTTCACTGGTAGAGCTTGAGTCGTGGCTGCTTTCCGTCGTTGATGGGGACGAAAGTCGATTTGT